TAACTCCGGTGAGTTAGTCATATTTTTAAGACACTCATCAGATATTGGAGTCGTCAACACTCTTCAGAAAGAGCTTTGTATAGGGAAACGTTGACAATGAGCAAGTACAAAGAGCAGTAGAAACAGTAAAAGATTAATAGGCACTCTTATATAGAGGAAAAGAAAGGCAGAAACACATCTTTTCCAGGGGTTTTGCCAGCCTCTTCCCAGGAGTAGGCCTCTTAGAAGCCCTATTCTCCGAGGTAGACTTCGGTGAAGTCCCAAAACTTGGAGATAGGTTTCTGTAAAGCCCCATTCTCTGAGGTAGACTTCGGTGAAGTCCCAAAACTCAGAGATAGGTCTCGAGGCCCCTATCATGGTCTGATAGATGGTTTCCCATGCTAAGCAGACTCCACTGGAGTCGGCGTGGCACTTTCTCTCCCTCCCTCCCTTCTTCCCTCCTTTCATCCTTTCTTTCCCTCCCTCTCTCCCTTTCTTCCTTCTTTCCTTCCTTCCTTCCTCTTTCCCTCCCTCCCTCCCCCTCTCTTCCTTCCTTCTTTTCTTCCTCCCTCCCTCCCTCTCCCCTCTCTCTTTTTCTCTTTTTCTTTTCTTCCCTCCTTCTTTCTTCCTGTGTTGGTGGTGGGGCTTGAATTCAGAGCCTGGATGCCATCCCTGAGCTCTTTTGCTCAAGGCGAGCGCTCTACCACTTTGAGCCACAGCACCACTTCTGGTTTTCTGGTGGTTTATTGGAGATCAGAGTCTCACGGACTTTCCTGCCCGGGTTGGCTTTGAACCGCGATCCTCGGATCTCAGCCTCCTGAGTAGCTGGGATGACAGGCGGGAGCCACCGGTGTCCATCTCAGCAGTAGACTGTGTGTTGTATATTGATTTTTCCTTGTTGTTGCAAAGGAGATGCACAGTGGGGTCACTGTTTCCTCAGCCAGGTCATGAGCGCGTTTCCTTTTGGGCGATGTCACGCCTTCTTTCCCTCCTCAGTGGGAGATGGAGTGTCAGCTGGTGTGTGTGTGTGGGGGGGGGGAAGAATCCCACCAATGGTGGGCTGGGCTGGGGTGGGAGGAAGGGAGATCCCACTCCCCCAGGGGCCTGGCACCCCAGGGCCTCCATCCCGGGCCGGGGCCTCCATCCCCGGGCCTCACCCCGGAGGCCGGTCCCTGCCCGCTCGGTCGGTTGTGTCACTGGTGTCCGGGCCCTGCAGGGTGGTGAAGAAGTATGACAAGGGCGGGCGGCTGGTGTGCAACGCGGAGGATCTGTGCGACTGTCTGGAGCGGAGCTGCCTGGGCTGCTTCTACCCCTGTCCCCGCTGCAACTCCACCAAGTGCGGCCCCGAGTGCCGCTGCGGCCGGCGCTGGGTGTACGACGCCATCGTCACGGAGGCCGGCCAGGTCATCAGCGCCCTGCCCTTCTCCGTCCCCGACTAGGCCCCGGGCCGGCCCCGAGCACTCCGGCTTCCAGGCTCCGGGCTACGCCGGGCATGCAGGGTGGGGGACTGGGGTGGGGTGGGGATTGAACTCGAGGCTCAGTTGGCAGGCGCACTGTGGCTCGAGTCACACCTCTAGCCAAGAGCCTTTTTCTTCTGTAGGACAGAGACTGGTACGTTTTGGGGCCTGTAGTTAACCTTCGAATCGTCGCCTTGACTAGCACTGAGGCAGAATTGCAATTTGCATTAAAAGGCAAGCAACCTTGTGACTTGGTGGTGTTTATCCTTTGTGTGTGCATGCCTGCGTGCGTGCACGTGTGTGTGTGTGTGTGTGTGTGTGCATGCACTGCTCTTGGGACTTGAACTCAGACCTGGGCGCTGTCCCTCAGCTCTTCAGCTCAAGGCTAGCGCTCTACCACTTGAGCACCATGTCTGGTTTCTGGTGGTTCATTGGAGATAAGAGTCTCATGGCCTTTCCTGCCCGGGCTGGTTTGAACTGCGATCCTCAGATCTCAGCCTCCTGAGTCGCTAGGATGACAGGCGTGAGCCACCGGTGCCCAACCTCTTCCCTTCAGTTTTTGTTGTCTGTTGTAAGAACATTAAGTAAGATCTGATATTTGAATGACTAAATGTTTTCCATGGAGAAGGAAGAAATGAAGGCTTGCATAGTCTGAGGCCCTACCAGTTTACATTTTTCTTTCTAGAATCAGTAACTTTTTCTCCCCAAAGGGGAGAGCATTAGGGGTCACGGGAGCCTGGTGCTGGTGGACAGTTGGCTGGTGTGTGCTCTGGTGTCTCTGGTGACCGGTGTCCGTGGAGAGTTCAGTTCGCTCTTCTTTCATCCCTGTTTTTTGTCGTTTTACAATGGCACCATTTTGTCCGGGGTTCCCATACTTCTGTGTGCGTCAGCCTACCACGGGACGCCGGGACACCCGGAATTTGCAATGCCCCCACCTTGGACCCACCAGGTCCCTCACGATGCCCCAGCGTCTCCCCACGCTGCTCAGCGCATTCATCCTCCATTCAGAGTGGATTCTTGCATCTTGCCGTCTGTCATCAACCATCTTTCCTAACGCTTGCAAGGGAAAGGGAGAAACGCGTGGTGTTGTCGCCCTCTGCTGGCTGTTTCTGTGTACCTCAGCTTTTGCATAGGACAAAGCTGACGCGTATGATGTCCAAATCCCCTGAAAATAAAACCAACAGCGGAAGGATGGCAGTGGGCTGGGCAGTCCAGGGCCAGCCTGCCACGCCGGAGGTCCTGGGTTCAAAACCCGGTATTGAAAAAGCAATATATTAGAGCTGATGCAATGGTCCCTCCTTGTTTGGAATATCTTCCTCGAAACTTTATGTCACCACTAATGCAATTTTTCAAATCTACGGCAGGATTCTCGATCAGAGAGTAAAGGCGCTGTTATTTTTGCAAGTCTCCCGGACACCGAAATGGCCGCCGAAAAGATGCATTTAGCTGAGAAAGTTGATAAAGTATGTGCAGGTGAACTTATGCTCGGGTCGCAGGAGCATCTCAGATCAAATGTCCAGCTGGTACGAAGTCTCTGTCCATCTGTCTGCCTGTCTGTGGTGGAGGTACCCGATGCGAAGGCCAACATGGCTCCTAGCCCCACAGCTGTCGGGAGCCAAAAGTTGAGTCTCTCAACGTAATAGGCTTAACTATCTCACCAGAACATCTTGAGGCTGAGTTTACAGAATCCCACCTTTTCACCACACCCTGCAGCTACTAAAGACCGACTACCTTTCCACCTTGCCTAAGCAAACGTCTTACAGTTGCGCCAGCCAATGAAAAAGCTTCCTTATTCCAAGCATATAAATACAGCTGTGTAAGCCGGGCGCTGGTGGCTCACGCCTGTAATCCTAGCTACTCAGGAGGCTGAGAGCTGAGGATCGGGGTTCAAAGTCAGCCCGGGCAGGAGAGACCGTGAGACTCTGATCTCCAATAAACCACCAGAAAACCGGAAGTGGCGCTGTAGCTCAGGTGGTAGAGCGCTTGCCTTGAGCTGAAGAGCTGAGGGACAGCGCCCAGGCCCAGAGTTCAAGTCCCACGACCGACAAAAATAAATAAATAAATACAGCTGTGTGAAAACTAAAATTTAGCAGCAGCAGCTTGATCAGAACCCCTGTCTTGCTGTCCTTCTTCGACTCTCTTGTCCCTTCATTCCTTCTCGCTTGGGTTCACTGCCCTCGTTGACGTCCTGCGGGTCGGGACACACAGCAAGGTCTCTCTGTCCAGCCCCGTTCCCAGGCCTTCAGTTCTCCTCCTGTCTGTGTGTGCATGTGTGTATGGGTATGTGTATATGTGTGTAAGTGTACACGCATGTACGTGTGGGTATGTGCACATGTGCATGTCTCTGTGTGTATGGATATGTGTATGGGTATGATGTATGTGTGCATGTGTGTTTGTGTGTGTGGGGGTATGTGTATAGTTGTGTGTTAAGTATGCATGTTTATGGGTGTGTGTGTGCGCATGCGCGCGCGCGCGTGTGTGTGTGTGTGTGTGTGTGTGTACTGCGGCTTACACTCTTTCTACTCAAGGCTAGCTCTCTATCATTGGAGCTACACCTCTGCTTCTGGCATTTCGGTGGTTTGTTGGAGGTAAGAGCCTGTCTGAGTTTCCTGCCCGATCTGGCTTCAAACTGGGATCCTCAGATCTCGGCCTCCGGAGTGGCTAGGATGACAGGCGTGAGCCCCGGCCTCCGGCCCTGACCGACCTTCCGTCCTCGCAGACACGTGTTTCACCTTCAACACCATGAAGACTGCCCAGAGGGGCACGTGGGCGTCCTGATGCTCTCTGCAGCCCTGCGTCCTGGTAGGAATTTCTCTGCTTCCTTCTTGCCAGGACGCCTGTGGTGTCAGACCAGCGGTGTCTCTAACAGACCAGGCTGGCCCGAGGGGTTTGGGGCGCATCTACCAGGTAGGAGCCTCCCGTCCCAGGCAGCTTCTTCCCGGTGGGTCCCGGGCGAATCTGTGCCTCAGTGGTGCTGGGAGACTCTGAGCTGCAGGGAAGTAGCTCACTGAGCCACCTCGGTCCATTTATTAATCTGAGCAGTTAGAGGAAAGTCCCAACTCCTGCATCTGTAAAAGACAGATGTTGTAGTGTGTGGAAATTATGGGGGATGAATCATTTACTTTGGAAATGAACACAAACCATCCCAAGGCGATGTGGAGTAGGTTTAATAAATGACTGTTATCTACACTGCTACCGAAGAATGATGTGGATGTGTAGATTCCCTAAAGTATTTTTTTTTTTAAATTGGGATTGGACCTACTTTAGAACCTGTATTAAAAGAAGAAAAAAACCCTACACATATACTCAATTCTTTGTTTTCATTAGTTTTGAATATTGAATGTCCTGTTTTGTGAAAATAGTTTGCTACGGAAAACTTAATACAGAAAGGTGAGAAGCAGGAGGTAGAAAATTACAAAGTCTTCCCAGAAGAGAAATGATATGGAAGATATTAATTAAACTTATTCTATTAATCACTATCTATCTATCTATCTATCTATCTATCTATCTATCTATCTATCTATCTATCTATCCACTCCAGTGTGCATTTAACCACAGGAACACGATTCCCATTTTAACAAAAGTTTAATTGAACTTTCACTACGTCTTGTAATATTTTCTGAGATTTAATTTTTTTTTGTTTTCACTCATTGCTTGATTTCAACCAGTAATTTTTCTAGAAAAGAAAAAAAAAGTTGATGAAGATAATAAATGAAAATTAAGTTTGATGATATCTGACTCTTGCCTTGACAGCGCGTAAGTTCGGAAGCGTCTTGCCTGGGCCTGGTAATGCATGCTTATCCAACGTTGGGAGACTTCGGTCAGGAGAGGTTCTTTGGTTGTTATTTTTTACTACGCGTCGTGGTGTATGTATTCGCTTGGGCATCTTTCCTTGTTCATTGATTTCTTTTTCCTGCTGTCTGTGGTGTTTCCTCTCCCGCTCAAAATGACACCTTGTCTCTGGCCAGACCCAATGGGGACCGGCCACACCTGCGAATGCTTTTTCCACAGTCATCCTGGGTGAAAATGACCAGGTGAAAATGACCGTCTAGCGCTGCGCTGCAGCCGAGGTGTGAACATTTCCCTTTAAACAGCGAGCAGCTCCCGGGAGGCAGAGGCAGGTGCAAATGGAAACAGAGTGGGCGATAACTTGAGAAGCCTGGGTGAGAATGAGCTTTGGGGGGCTGGGGGTTGGGGGGGCTGTTCCTGGGCCAGGAGATGTGTCCAGGGTTTTCACAGCCCTGCCCTCTGCCCCATTTCCCTCCCATTTCACCTCCCTTTTGTGGAGCCGCTGGCCAGGAAAAAGGGGGTTCAGATCTCCCAGGGCTTCCTGGTCTGTGGGGTGGAAAAACAGAGCTCTCCTCTCCCCTCTCCTTTTCCTTCCTTCTCCCTTACCCCTTCCTCCCCTTCCCCCCTCCCCCCTCTCCTTCCCCTTTCTTCCTCCCCTCCCCTCCTCGCCTTCCCTCCTTCTTGAAGATGGGATTGTGGAAATGTAACTCCATTCCATCCACTGTTTTTGTTTTTGTTTTTAAATCCCATGACCTCTTCTTTAGGAGCCCAGGACTCTTATGTTTTTTTTTGTGTGTGTTGTTTTCCCGTCCATCTCTTTCCAATTGGGACAGTGCTCTTAATTTTTTTTTTTTTAAAGGAAAGAAAAAGTTCTGGGAGTGTTGCTCATCCATCAGGAAAAAAATGAAATACATCCTTTGCAGGGAAATGGACGGGCCTTGAAACACCTGATTTTAAGTCTCAGACAAGAGATGCATGTCTTCTCTCATATGGGGTAGTTCATTCTAAATCACCCCCCCCACACATACACACACACACACACACACACACACACACATCCTCTCTGGTACACACAGGGAGAGTCGCCCAGTGGTGTGACTCCTTTGAACAACTATGGCTTAACACAGTGGGGCAGGTGTAGGTGTGTCTGGGGTGTGTGGGGTGTGTCTGGGGCAGGCGTGGGTGTGTGTGGGGTGTGTCTGGGGCAGGTGTGGGTGTGTCTGAGAGTGTGTAGTGTGTCTGGAGTGTGTGGGGTGTGTCTGGGGTGTCTGGGGTGTGTCTGAGGCAGGTGTGGGTGTGTCTGGGGTGTGTCTGGGGCAGGTGTGGGTGTGTCTGGAGTGTGTGGGGTGTGTCTGGAGTGTGTGGGGTGTGTCTGGGGTGTGTGGGGTGTGTCTGGAGTGTGTGGGGTGTGTCTGGGGTGTGTGGGGTGTGTCTGGAGTGTGGGGTGTGTCTGGGGTGTGTGGGGTGTGTCTGGCGTGTGTGGGGTGTGTCTGGGGTGTGTGGGGTGTGTCTGGGGTGTGTGGGGTGTGTCTGGGGCCGGTGTGGGTGTCTGAGAGTGTGTAGTGTGTCTGGAGTGTCTGGGGTGTGTCTGGGGTGTGTGCGTGTGTCTGGAGTGTGTGGGGTGTGTCTGGAGTGTGTGGGGTGTGTCTGGAGTGTGTGGGGTGTGTCTGGGGTGTGTGGGGTGTGTGGGTGTGTCTGGAGTGTGTGGGGTGTGTCTGGAGTGTGTGGGGTGTGTCTGGGGTGTGTGGGTGT